ATTATTATTGCTGTGGTCATATTATTTCGTTCGTCATGTTTTAAGATTACATGGTATAATTCGTTACGATCCATGTCACTTAATTTGTTTCCCTTACTGCGCTTACTTTTACAGCCTATCGTGGCTTGCTTTAGAGTAAGAGATTCATGTGGTGGTCCTTCCTCGTGTTGTCCTTCCGTGTCTACGTGTAATCTTTGGTGGTCGCTTTTCTTTCTCAGTAGTCATCATGGCCTTTCTTGCCGTATCTTTTGGGTTTTTTAATCTGTTTTCTTTTTTTTTTTTTTAAGATCTTTAAACGTCATCTTAGTTCCTACCTTTTTTTAACTTCTTAAGTACTCGTACTCTATTTTTACCCAATTTTATTCCAACTTTCCCCCCTCTTTTTTTAATCTTTATTTCATCCCTACTTCTTAGATCATTGCTAGTTATTTTAATCTTCGTTTTGCAACGTTTTTTCCTGTTTGTTTTTTTGTATACTTTTCCTTGTTTAACTCGTAACTTCCGTTGGCGCTGTTGTATTTTGTGGGGCTTTTTGTGTATTGGAAGTAATTTGCATATTATGCGAATGATTGCTACTGCTGTTTGAATACATTAATTAACAAAAATATTAAATTGTGCACACCAATACGTGAATTTATATTATTAATACGCAAACTACATGTATAGCTATCTATTGACAAGCTCACAGAAAGCACAGTTGTGTTATATTCGTCACTGACTCTAGACCAGATACACGGTTTGCAATTTGTGTAAATAATTTTAGTAGCATTTTCTACGCGATGCTTCGTATTTTTTGTTTTTGTTTCTTTTGGGTTTTTTTAGATATTTTTTTTTCACTGTTTGAAATTCTGCTAAAATGTCGTTTGTCTTTTGTGTTTGCTGTAGCTATACTGAAATTAGACCCGTCCTCCAGGCAGTGATTAGTGTTAATGGTGTAGTCGTTGTTTTCTATTAACAATCTTTTAAGAAATTCCGTTCCAGATAAGGCAGTTACATTTTATTTCCCCTTGGTCTTTCTGTGAATTTTATTTTCACGAATTGCCTTTATGATCACGTTCTTGCCTTACTATGGTCCTGTACGAATTTAACATCCTTTATGTATGGTTTTACTATACCTTTTGTTATTAAAATAATCTGGATATTTCATGCAATGTCTTTGAAACAGTCCTCTTTTTGGTGTTTCTAATACCGGGGGGGGGGGGAGTTATCAGTCAAGTCACAAAGCAAAAACTTTCAGACTTAAAAGATAAACACAGTGTGATTTTAGGATTCTCAGACATTTAAAGTACATGTACATATATATTTTTTGTTGACGGGAGAGGAGAGGACTAAATGCCTCCCCGACTTTTTGTTTTACCCTTAACAACCACTTACGCTCATGACACACACACACACACACACACA